CTTCTTTAGACAGTATCGAATTATGTGAATAATAGACTACCTCCGGAAAGTCGTCGAACGCTCTCTAAGGCACAACCGAGGGTAAATTTAGCTGATCCAGTCATTCGGATTAACAGTAATTGCCAAGCAACCATTTTACAAGTAAATTTTCAGCAGCGATAGGCTATTTCTTGAAAGTTCCTTGCTTCATGATTGTTGTGGAACCTCTCAATAGTACAGAACGAACATGTTTGATATACTGCTATAAGCTCAATCAACCCGATGATGACAGGGTTTTGTTTTCACAACTTACAACTCTTAATTGGAGCATTTTTACCATGCGACATACCATTCAAATACTAACCGGAAGCGTAAACAACTCGTATGCATTCGATGACATGTGCTCAGGTTGTAGACTGGCAAAATATTTTCAAATCGTCCTCCCCTAAGAAGAGTGAGACGTTGTGGCGTTCTGGTTTTAAGGTACATATGTTGGTCATGACTAGGATGTAGTGTTGAAGTTCATCAGCTCAATTCGAACGTTTTCTTTGTGTAAAAGAGTCGGCGAGTTATGGACCAAGCATCGTTCTCGGGAAGTTTTCTTTGTGTCCAGAGTGTCATGAAAACATTGAAAGTTGCCGTGCCTCCATTAATAGTTCAATTAATTTCTGTAATGGCTCTGGTCGTCTTTTATGAATCGCTCAGTAATACCTATTCCTTTTCAATCCCAGGCAAGCCGATTCTCTTGGCAAGGAATTTAGTGGCAGTCGGCAGTAAGGTAATAGAGTTGCCTAAGACATTTAGTCCGAGATTCTGATGCACTTCTGATGTGTGCATGGAGACAGCTCTTGCCCCTAGTACGTCCTTTGGGTTACTGGGATATTTTGTGTTCCTTCTATAGTAGTGAACTATGGTAGATTAGGAAGCCTTTCACATTTTTCTGCTTTGCAGCTGCTGATTCTACGATGGCAACACTCCAATCACTGCAGCCAAACTTAACTGAAGATTACTGCATCGAGGTACCAATAAGGTCTTGCCTCTTCCTTATTTTCACTACTTTCTTTCAAAGCAGTATTTTTACTGGAAAAACCAAAAACAGATATTTTTTGTGTCATAAGCGCGTGTTTCTTGTTAGATTTATTTTTTTATACTATAACAAGCCAAAGTTGAAGTTTTCGAGCGCCTGAGGAATGCGCCCGCATTCGACTTCCATTCAAAATCGTAATGGCGGTTCGAGTGCGTAAGTGACCTATATAATGAGTCCCCGTTCATCGGCTTGTGGTGGCTAGCCGATGTACGGCTTTTATCCTCCCAGACGAGCCTGGTACCAATTAAATGACTCCGGAGGGATGGAAGGCTTGGTTGACATAGGCAAATGTCGATCAGGAAATCGTGGTCATATGTGTGGTGTGATAGTGCACCACTTGCCGCAGCTGTATATAACAATTATTATGTTAATAAAAGTTTCGCTGCCGAGCCGACGACTCATGGTCAGAGCTCAAGCGTTTGAGTGGCTGTCGAAATTTACAGCAATGCTTGCTCATCTCTTCTGGAATGAGACCTCGCTCCCATGTCTGGAGGTTGAAAATAGGGGGTATTTATCTGTGCTCAACAACATCTTCATTAACCCATTGACGACCACGTGGCCTGCACACCATATAGTGCGCCTGTAGTATTTATATTATTTATCAAGTGTTCTTATAATTTTTTTCATGTTTTCAAGTATTAGCTGAGCTCACAACCTTCTAGAGAATCTTGAGGCATCGTGGTTCAGAAATCATTCACTTTCAGCAACAGCTATAATAGAAATTAAAAGTTAATGTAAGGACAATACAAAAGGCGCGGTCGCCAGTGGGTTAATCATTACCAGAAATCGTTTCGGGGGAATTTTT